GAGGAAATGATCCTCAACAAAAGAAGCCCTTGATTGTTAAACAAATTCTCATTTTCAGAACCTTAGGAAATGTATAGAGAACAGTATGGAGAATTTGCATACTGATGTTAGGGTGTAAAGGGTTGAAAAAATACTGCTTCCCGTGAAGAGCTAGAAATGGGACAGGAAAAAGGCCCTGGCTCCTCACCAGAAACTTACTTTTTTATTTGATTTTCTTGTCAAGTACAAAACAACACACAAATACCAGTTGGCTAAACATGTTTGGAATAGTGATCTAGGTTCCAAAATAAAATTGAAGTGCTTACAAAAAGAAAACCCAAAAAAAAAACCAATAAGCCAAAAATTGATAGGCGCTTTTCATTCCACCCTCCCGTGACCCCAAAGGCACAGGCATCACCAACAGTGTGCTCATGTAGAAGGTATAAACAGTGAATCTATCCTTTTAAAATTATTAGCAGTACATCAACAAGATAATTTATATGTACAGGAGTAATACACCTTCCAGAAGGTCAATGTTGTTGGGGAATATGGATAGAATTGCAGATGCGCCCACAAAGAAGGTGCAAACAGTTAATCTATCCATTAAAAATAATTAGAGGTACATCAACAAGATGTTGCAATCCTTTTTTAAAGTTACAATTAGTTTAAACTAATCAGGATTTTAACATGGTCTCTGGATGTACAGGTGTAATACACCTTCCAGAAAGAATCATGTAAGGGGAGTTGGAAGAATTGCTGGCAAATGAAAGAACTTACCAAAATCACAGTCTAATTCCTTAACTTCCCCATCCCCATGCTTAGTGGTTCTATGAGGAATTGAATTCACCTTTAAGAAGATGATGATTGAAAACATCTCAACAAAAAAAGTTACTGTGAAAATGAGTTTGTCCTGGACTTAGACCAAAAGACAATTTTTCTTTTGGAGATTAATTAGGCACGGTTTACAGACACTTAACCCATTGACCCCTTGGAGTAACTTGCCTTTAATTTCTCCTTACAATATCACCACTGAATCACACACATTTGACTGTTTTTGGATCGGTTTTTCGATTTTTGGGCCAAAAAGGTTCAGTTTATCGGTTTTGATGTTCAGGGCGGTTTGCGGATTTTATGTGTTTTTGCATTGGGATTTCGGTTTTCATGAAAACTCAGATGCAGTTTTCGGTTTTTCTTTTTTGACCCCTTTAAAGGTGAAAATGTGACGTTTTTGTCAGGTTTGCATGCAGTTTTCGGTTTTGCTGCCTTTTTTCATCGGTTTTTCGATTTTGGAGGTTTTTTTCTCCGGTTTTGCGGTTTCCCAGAGGCCCCAATGCCCCCTCCATTAGGGTCACGACAGTAAAAGAAATGATCACCAACTTAACAAGCTCTTGATTGTTAAACAAATTCTCCTTGTTCACACTTAGGGAAATATATATAGAACTGTATGGAGAAATAATTATACATGTTCTTGTTATGGTGTAAAAGATAAACTCATCCTTAAGCTGTTTGATTCATAACCACTACTGCAATGTACAGAAATTTTAATACCTCAAAATGGCCCACTTTTTGCATGCCAAGGCACTTTGGAAGCTCTCAAGTCATCAAGACTATTCTACCAAAGCTAAAGAATGCCCAAAAGGTGACCCAGTCAGTTAATGACAATAAAACATTTTTGACAACTACTTCACCTTGGAATTTGCAAGCACCAAGAAAAATATCAGTAACATAGTGGTTCTGTGACTTCTTTTAAGCGGTAATTCTCAATAAAGAAAGAAGAGAAATCTTAAAAGTCAATAAAGATGTTAGACAGCAATCCTTGCGGTAATGAACACTACTTACGCGAGGATCACTTTCATACATTTCTTAAAAACCGCAGTACACATATATGATTTTCACATATTCAAATTCAAAGATCTTTGTCCTTAGAAAGCATGGTATTTTTGATATTTCACAAAGAAACATGTATCGCAGCCTGTATATTAAAGTATTTATACGCAAAATGTTAGTATTTTGATTGACTTAGAGTATATAACAGATACTCCCATTTATACAGTTCAGTTTCTGATGCAAAACAGTAAGCCACCAAATTTTGACAGATAAAATACTAGCTATATGAACCTAATGGCCCATTACAACTCAGGTTTGGTCTGGTTCCTGTGGCATTGAGTGATAAAAAGAGTACTTATGATGCACGATCCTCACAGTAGAGAGCGCTATTTATGCAATGGCAAAAATCAGACTTGAAAAAACATTTAGTAAACCCGTGATTTATCACACGGGTTTATTACGAATCAACTAAACGGCCTGCTCCCAGTTGGCTTGTTAGCTCAATTGGTAGAG